ATCTCACAGGATCTCAAACTTGACATGCCCCCAATAGAACACCTGATTTCTAGTGCTAAGGTCCTCTCTCCACCTCTTTATTGCCCTAAACTCTAAACCTATTGCTCCACTGTCTTATACATCTTGGTTAATGCCACCACTGTCTACTAATTGCTTAAGCTGCTGGCAAAATGTTTTGAATCTACTTTCAAAATGTTTTTAGTGCATTCATCTCTCTTCATCTCCAATGCAACAGCCTAGTCTTTCACAGACATTTCTTAGAAGATAAATCAACTATCCAACATCTTAAAATCTTTCACAAGCTTCTCATTGCAATTAGAATCAATTCTAAAAGGCTTACCATGTGTTTGAAGCCTGACATTAACATTAGCTGGCATCAGACTGATCTCTAACCTAATTTTTTTCCATTTCCCCCTCACTACCTAAAGCCTGACCCCATGAGCGTACTTTCAGCTCCTACAGGAAGCCAACCTCCTTCCCTAGAGTCCTCACATATGCTTTCTCCTCAACTTGGGAAGTTCTCTGAGGGGCTTCAGCTTCTTTGTATCTTAGAACTCAGCTATTTGGAGTAGCCTTTGCTGACCACCACATCAAAACCCCATCTCCTTTTCGCTTTTATTCTCTATCATAGCAGCTTGTTAATTACCCTAATTATAATTATTGTGATCTTTAATATTTGCATACACTTTTGTTTGATTCCCTCACTATACTATAGGCTCAGCGAAGGCAGAACTGTGTGCCTGATTCATTGTGGTGCCACAAAGTGCCTATTATAATGGTTGGCACATAGTGAGCATTCACTCAGGATTTGTTGAATAAATGAAATGTATGACCTGTATCAGTGGTTCTCAACACTGGTCACCCATTAGAATTACCTGAGAATGCCTAAAAAAAATGCCAGTGCCCAGGCTCCACTCTCAGAGACTCCAATTGAATCAGTGTGGTATAGGACCTGGCATCAGTATTTTTAGAAAGCTTTTCAGGTGATTCTAATGTACAGTTCGAGAAGAGGATCACTGCTCAAAAGGAACTGCAGGGGACCATTAAGATATTACTAAAATCCTAACTAGGAGAATGATTTCTCAGACCTTGTTTATAATTGACAGGGTGAGAAAGAGCAAACTGACTTGCAAAGATTTCATGGAACAATGATAGTAGAATGTTACACGAAGAAGGCTGAGGAATATAATGAGCCAGATTGGAGGTCGCGAGAAGTGGAAGGAATGTCTGGTCCAGAAGGGACATGGTATAAGCACGCTATGGGAACTAAAACCATTAGTGGACTAATCCAAAGCATTCTTTCCTTTCTTTTCTACCTCAGGGTCTGGTGTGCACCTCAGCTTTAAACACAAAGAGGTGGCACTCACAGCATTGTTATGCTGGTCAGTGTGGAAGGTCCAGGGTAGATGACAGGAGGACATCTTTGGACATCTTTCCCCTTCCTTTTGCCCTGTCTTCCTGCCTCAGGACACCAAGCCTTCATCCCCATCCAACAGGGAAGTAGACAGCTGAAGAAATGGCCCTAGAATGACATCAGCACAAGGAAAGCCACAATCCAGGAGGTGAGCAGGAGGGAGAGGAAAGGTCAAAGAGGGAGTTTTCTCTGCTGCCTGTGAGGGAAGCCACCTGGGCAGAGAAACAGTGAAGGAAACTCAGTGCACGATCGCTGCCCCCAGGGGAGTCACTAATGGAATGTGACTCACATTGGAACTAATGGACCTCCTAATACAGGCTTCCACTTTGGAGCGTGCGACTTATCATGTGACTTACCCACTCACATTTAGAGTGTTTGTGATAAGGCCTGTAAAACCCCCACCCATCCACATTTGGGGTTTAAAGCTGGGGTCTCCATGAAGATTACAACTTTAGATAAACATTCCAAAACTACAGGGGATTCTGGGTACTGTCGGTAGTGTAGATTGAAAGGGAATAAAGTAATCTGTGATTTAATAGTGACCTGTTTATCCCCAAAGGTCACAAACTGTCAGTCCATCTGACCCTCAAACATGTTTTATTGTCCTGCACAGTTTTAAAAAAAATATTGAAATTTTCGGTGTTCAAAAATAAAGATCTGGGACTTAAAAAAACAGATAATCAGGGAACACTATGCCTTTATCTTCTACGAAACAGAGGTCTGCAGCTGGATCCTTCTTTTTTTTTTCTCCCCCTCTCTTCCTTCCCTCACCCACAAATCTTTATTGAGCCCTGCTTTTGCAACGAGTTCAAAGATAAATAAGATATAGTGTAAATACAACTCCTGTGTGTTTCCACATATATTCTGTGCTCAGATTTTCTTTGTATTAAACTTCGCCAAAAGCCGAGATAAGATCTGGGCCATGGATTAAATTCTGCATTCTCTGAGTCACCTTGCTTTTCAAATACTGTTAGTTTGGTTGCCCATTATAATTTGTCTTCCAAATGGGCTGTTCTTCTGAATTTCATTCAGAAGCTGGCATGTGAGATGGCTGTGCCAGTTAATAAGCTGTTGTGTTTCAGCTTCAAACCAGCTCTTCTTTTCTCTGCTTTGTGATGCTAGGTCAAGACTCTCCAGACTCTAATTCTGCCTTGTCAGCTGCTTCCCATTAGGCTCTGCCAACAGAGAGCTTGGGAGAGCGGGGACAGGGCAAGGGAGGAAAGTCTGCTCCTTCTGCTTTGCCACAGGAATAGTACTTCTCAGGGCAGCAGCAGTTGTGAATTCCCAAGCCCTTTCCACACTCCCAGAACCGCCTCATGGTGTCCTGTCACAGTGCCATCTCCTCAAAGTACAGTGCCATCTCCTCCACAGTCTGAGCCCCGGTGCCTGGGACCTTTCCTTAAGCTTCTAGGTTCTGCTAACCCCAGACTCTTCCCATGGTTCTCTAAGTCCTAGGGATGGTAGCTGCTTTATGAAGGTAACCATCTATGAGTTATCTCAGGGTCTCATGGTTAATGAATTCCCTATAACCCTGATTCTCAGACTTGAGCTTCGGAATCACCTGAAGGGCTCTTGAAACTGATTGCTGGGCCCCATGCTCAGAGTTTCTGATTCAGTAGATCTAGAGTGGGGCCTTGGATTTGCTTTTTTGTCAAGTTCCCAAGTAATGCAGATGCTACGCTACTGGTCTGGGGACCCCACTTGAAGAACCACTGCTGAGCATTACATTCCCCGATAAAATAGTGTGTATTCTGTTTCCTAGCTAACTTGATTGAGTCAATGACCTTTACTCAAATAGCACACCAGCCAGATTGGTTTGGTATGTTGGGTAGTGGAAAGTCATGGCCACACCCACTTCTAACCTGGGCCTTCCCATGAGATCAAATCGCTGTCTGTGTCTGTCTGTCCACACCCCGTACCTGTACTCTTGCTCCTCTGCCCTGACTGCAAAGCCCTTGGCTTTCTTGTACGATGTTCCATCCCATCTCTCTCTGGCTCACACGCTACCACCTCTGTGGGCCTGCTCTGCTAATTGTAAACCATTTGAATTCTGATTTCTCTGACCTGTCCCATACTAAGTGACCCGGTTAACATTTCCTTCTGGGCTTTTTCAAGTTCACAATATATGTTGAATTGTTTACTGTGTGCAGAACCTCATGCTGGATGCTTTTGCTAGAGATAAAAAGAGGAGAAAGACTTAGAGTCTGCCCTCATAGGGTAATTGAGAATGGTATTATTTGCTTGTTAAAGATCTGGAAAAAATATTAGCAGAACCCCCACTAGAGAGACAACTACTTTGGTTCGGTGAATCATTTGATTAGCAAGATATGGATGGGATTAGAAAGTGTGCTCAAGCAATAATGGCTAGAGGCTCGAATGCCTTCTAAGACGAGTGAGTCCTTGTTAACTACTAGGCTTGTTTTATAGAGGGGGTGCTAGGCAAGTTTATGGCTGGAGTTGAATTATGCCAAGGGAAGGGAGTGGTGTCAAGAGGAGGAAGGGGCCTGGGGCTTGCTGACAGAGGACAAGTTCAGTGGAGAATGAAACAGAAGAGAATGGAGACTTCCAATACAGTGTTTGCTAGTGTGTGTGGTAATCTCTCTCATCTCTCCATGAAATCATTAATGAAGCTACTTGCTTCTTGGGAATAGAAAAAAGTATTATTGAGTCTTTTACAAGTTTGGAGTGAGATAAAATCATGAGACATCCTATAGAAAAATGGCTACATATAAATATATACGTGTGTGTGTGTGTGTGTGTGTGTGTGATCTTTTTTCTCCTCTGAAATATAGCCTAAGCACCCTGTGGTCCTGTCTGGATTTTATAGGCTTTTCCATCAGCCCTGATTATGAGTAGCACATGTTTATTAATGAACTATCCAAATAGACCTACCATTAGGCTACACAAAGTGCCTACAGGCTTGCATATGGCAATTCATATGTGGGTGGAACACTGGCCCTTTGCTTTTTCTTAATGGTTTTTATTTATTTTTTTGATAAGTAAATACATATTATTGAACATTTGTAAATATTTAAAAGTATGAGAAAAAATGAAAATCAATTTTACTGCTCAGAGGTAACTACTACCAACAGAATGATGTGTTTGTGTGTGTGTGTCTCTCTCTAGATAGATAGATAGATGATAGATAGATACTCTACATATATGTGTGTTTCTGTATATATCTATATATAGAAGTTATGTATAGATAGCTATATATATAGAAGCTATATATGTATATTCTTTCTCTGTATATATATATGCAACTAGGTCCATGTTCATAAAATCTTATATACTGCTTTTTTTCACTTAGCTTTTTGTTACAAGCATTTATGCTTTGTTTATATCTCCTTCAAAAATATAATTTAATGTCAGCATCATATTCACATAGACTATCATAGCATATTTATTGAATTCCCTACTGTTTAGATAATTATATTTTTCTCCACTATCATTTGTAATGCTACTCCATTATTATTTATAATGCTACTGTGAACATTTATACTGTAACTTTATATTTGGATAGACCTGTATTTTGACACGCTAAAATGACACACATTTGTCTTCAGGAGTAGAATGTTGTACTTACATGAAATGAAGCTCAGAAGATACAACCCTAGTGGACCATGCAGAGTTTCAAAAGGCTTGCCAAAAGCGTTGTACATGAAGAAGGCTGTCCCCACCATAGTTAAGATAATAAGGATCATGGAGAAGAGAATGACGTTGACGTGGATACTCACTGGCATTGCTTTGAGCAAATCTGGGAAAACTGAAGATAAAACAAAGATTAGAAGAAATTTAATTAGCAGTCATCTGCTAGTGTAAATTTAAAAATTAAATCCCTCTTTTAACTTCAAAAATCACTAAAATCCTTCAGATGAACCATCTCACTTACTGACAAGAGATTTATAAAAAAATTTAAATATGAGATTATTTTATAGAACTCACAAGTAAAAACTAACAAAGGGGAGATTTGAGGGATTTTTTTTTTTCCTGCTGTTGGTCATATGTAATTACTTAAACAAGTGCTGGCTTTATAACCAAAAACTGTACATATTCATGACCAAACTTTTAATGATATTTCTCAGTCGTCATTTTTTAAAATCTATCCTAATTTATAATGACATTTTCAGTTTTGGGACCTCTGGGAGTGTTCAAACATCAGGAAGTTTTTATATTTCCTTTGCTACAAAAAAAATCGTTTCTAGCTCGCACCAACTTTTAAAAATGGGATATTTGCAGTCAACTTTAATATTTTGATGTAGCACAAGCTGTGGGAAAATAATTTCTGGTGACACATGAAATATTTTCCATTTAGGAAACAGGCCAAATCTATTTCTAGATTTCGTGTTCAGGGTAAGTTTTTCTTGTTTGCAGAGGAAATGAAATGCTTTATAAATGTAGAGCTTCTCTTATCTGGCGAGGCATCAGCAGACCTGGCAAAACCAATCTGGGAAAGTTTGGTTCTGTCCATTTTATTTTCTCAAAGATTTATCAAGTGCTTGATTTGTTTACTGAGCATCTACAATGTGCCAGACGTTGTTCTGAGTGCTGAAAGTAGAGCCATGAAAGAAGATAGACAAGATCCCTCTTGTCTTGTGGAGCTTATAACCTAATGGAGGTAGATAGCTAATAACAAGTAAACAAACAAGCAAGTGTGAGGACTTAATGCCAAAGATGGCCACCATCAATTTCTTCCCTCCTTTATGCAGAAGTCACTTCCCCTTTAAGAGGTAGAAGTTATTCCTTGGTCCCCTTGAACCTGGGCTGGCCTATGACTGTTTGACCACCCGGAGAATATGCAGCAGAGTACACTATACCAGTTCCAGGCCTAGCCTATGAGAGAACCAGCATTGTTTATGTCTTTACTTTTGAAGGCTTGAGCTGCCATGAGGGAAGTCCCAGCTACTCTGCTGGAGAGAGAGGCCACCCGGAGGAGCACCAGGTATGAGAGGGAAGAGTGTTGGACGTCCAGCCCAGCAAAGTCTCCAGAAGACATTAATCCCAGCTACTATTTAACTGCCACAGCAATGGAGACTCAGTGAAGAACTGTCCAGCTGAACTAATAAAATTTGTTTTAAACCTTTCAGCTTTGGGGGATTATTATGCAGTAATAACAATAAGATACACTCAGATGGTGATACTTCCATGGAGAAATAAAATAGAGTAATGGGATTGGGAGTGGATCGAGGTGGTCAGGAAAGTGACACCTGAGCTGACACCTGAATGTTGAGAAGGAAATAGCTGGATAAAGATCTGGGGTAAGCATTCCAAGGAAAAGGAGCACAGCTGGGGCAGGAGTGAGCAGTGAATAAGGGGAGGTGGAAGTGAGATTGCTATGCTGGGGGAAGATGGTTGTCCCTGCTAGATCCTGGTCTATTGACCGTGTTTAGGAGTTTGCTTTTAGTTCTAAATTCATTTGGAAGCCACTGGGCATGGGGTGGGGGTAGGGGGTTAAGCAGAAGAGTGACACAAGCTCTATGATGTAAAAACATCACTCTGACCACTGAGTAGTGAGTATAAGGGGAAGGGGGGAGACCTAGCTAGGGTGGGGGTGATACATACAGTGACATGAGACAGGACCTGGCTTAAGGGGCTAGCAGCAGAGGTGGTGAGAGGCTGTCAAATTTGGAATATATTTTGAGATAGAAGACAGGACTTGTTGAAAGAAAGGAACCAAGGATAGCACCTAGATTTTGGGCCCGAGCAACTGAATAAATGGTGATGCTATTAACTGAGATAGAAGTAGAAGGAGCAGATTTGGGCACAGGAGTGAGAAGTGATGCAAGAGTTCTGTTTTAGATAGTTTAAGTTTGAGTTACTTTTAAGACCTCCAAGTAGAGACGTCAAATAGGACTTATATGTCTGGAGGTCCAGGGAGAAGCAGGGGTATGTAATGAGGTGGGACTAGGGTGAGGCAAGCAAGGTGCCTAGGGTGTAAAACTCAAGAAGACAGTCACTTTCTGGGGCCAACCCTGCACTTGCAGAGCCTGAGAGTGAATGTCTCCTTGAATTTTATGTCCTAGCTGCCTCAGTGGACTCACCCCAGTCCTGGCCTGGTACTAAAAGCCATGGCATGGATATCGCCTATGGAGAAGCTGCAGTTAGAGGAGAGGAGGGTCAGGAAGAAGTTCTGGGGATCTCCCATATTTTCCCACACAGAAAGGAGGAGAAGTCCGCCAAGGAGATCAGAAAGAGAGCTTGTGAGTTAGAAACAAATCCATGACTGGGACAGTGGAGAAGCCGAGGGAAGGCAACGTTTCAAGGAAGAGAAAGTGGTCAGCCACGCAAATGCGTGTCCTATAGCCACAACGCTCCTGACCATGTGTCAGAAAGGGACGAGGTAAGAGAGTTGCATTAGGTCAGAACAAACCCTTCACCGCTGCTGGATACAACTAAATAATATGTCCATACATAAAATATGCTTAGTACTATTAGGGAGCACCCCCTTCATGAATACAGACAAGGTCGTTTGTATCTTGATGGTGTTCACTCAGGGTCCTCACTCAGGAGTCACGGGCAGGTCATTTGAATGCTGAGGTTTAGTTGCATTATATTTCCTTTATCTGCTCACAATAAGAGAAATGCACATTATAAATCTATGAGATACCATTTCTCACAAATTATATTTACAAAGATCAAAACATTTAGTGATATGCTGGTTCACTAGGGTGTAGGGAGGGACCCTTGTGCATTTTTCTTGAGAGTATAAATTGGTACAACTTCCTTAGAGGCAGTTGGCAATACCTATAAAGCATTAAAATGCACATATCCTTTAGCTCAGCACTTTTATTTCAAAGATTTCATCCTATGAATATTTTTGCACATTAATCCAATAAAATACTGCAAACATATTCATTGCAGGATTTTTTTTTAAACGGAAGGTTAGAAACAACTTACATGTCTATCAGTACAGCATCCATACAATGGAACATTAGTCAATGATTACAAATAATGAAGCTAATCTGTAAGAACAGGTATGGAATTATCAAAATATGATGTTAGATGAAAAAAACACAAACTAAACAAAGAGAAGTGTGCATCATTCTATCATTTAAGGATAAGCCAAAGGGAGAACATATCTAATAACAAGTAATTATTTAAGTACTTTACTTATCTGATTTAATTCTCTTAACAACTCAATAAGTAAGCACTATTATTAGTCTGACTTATCAGAGGAGAAAACTAGGGCTCAGAGGTGATATACCCAAGATTTATATGTAGTAAAACCAAACTTCCTCAAAGAGCAATAGACTTAGTAAGCAGCGGAGAGATTTGAACTCATGTTCCTACTCTTAACCACCAGACTGCAGCAGCCTCGGGGGCAGGCCATGCTTGTGTAGGGAGAGATTATTTCTAAAAGTTTATTTGTGAAACTGGTAAGGAAACTGGGAGGGAAACTGAGGGATATTTCATTATCCCTTTAGGGCAATTTGTAAAAAAAAAAAAAAAAAAATTAGTACCCTGCAAGCATTATCTACTTAATAAATAATTTTTAAAATCCATGAAGACATGAAATATTCCTGTGACTATTTTAGATTAAAAGAGACTTGAGACATATTCACCAAATGCAATGTCTGGATAATGAACAAACCATTTATAAGAGACATTTTGAGTTAACCAGGAAAAATTGAAAGTGGACTGGGTATTAGATGATATTATACAACTATTATTAATTTTGTTGCTTATGTTAATGGTACTGTGGTTCTGTTTGTTTAAGTCCTTATCAATTAAAAATGATATGAGTGGGTATGAATGGAGAGACAGAAGAGAGGACAGAAAGAGAGAGGGAGGGAGGGAGGGAGGGAGGGAGAGAGAGAGAGAGAAATAAGAAACGTCCTCAGCTCTATTGGAAGTATGGGTAGTGGCAAAGTGGCTGCTGAAGCTCGCAGGTGCTGAGCTCCTGCTGCCAGTGATTGCACTATCCACTCTGCCAGTGTTCTGCGGGTGCAGAGTGAACCAGCTAGTCTTGTACCACAGTTGCCTGCCCTTTGGAGCTTCTAGCTGCTGAGAGGGTTTGATCAATCTAACCTGCTATTCTTTCGCTGTCAACTGTTGACTTGGTTTTTACTAGCAGCTACAAAAAATCTGCTTCTTTCTATCTCCCCACCTGTAAAAGAGGTGATAACCTCTTCATCTTCAATAGGGTAGCTAGGTGAAGCCTGTCTGAAAATTGAGGATTGTTACCAAATTGAAACAAATGCAGAAATAAGTTGCACTGATTTGCCTCCTGGAAAGAAAAGCCAGAAACTAAAATAAATTGTCACGTGGAGCATTTTAATTCTTACGAAGTCTCTTAAAATTTCCACCCTTGTGAGAAAGTTACTCAGCTGGGCACTAATTACTGCATGTTATACTTACATTCTATCAAGTTTATTTTTTGATGAAAATTCCCAGTCTGTAATGACCATCTAGAACTCTGGTAGGAGCCCACCATTTTCCGACCCACACTAATATGACTTTTCCTTGGTTGAAGCTGAGAGAAAACCATTTGAATAAATATTAGAAGGTGTCACTTTAATGGTATTGGATATTATATATCTAGGAGGTAGATTTGTTTAACCTTCCTGTCCTTTTCAGTTTAGGATTACAACACAGAAAACGGATTTGAACATTTTGATCTGTGGACGGGTCGTCATTAATTCAGCAAGTCACTTCTGGCCTCCAGAAATTACTTGATTAGCTGTTGACAAATGAAATGGAGTTATTTCTTAAAATGGGCAGCTGATGCTACATTAGTAGCACAGGGTAGGGCTGTACATTCAGAAT